TTTGCTTTTCCACTGAGCAATATATGCATGACTGTCCTATAATTGGGAGGATGACAAGCCAAAAAAATGACCCACGGCTTGGAAGGTTGAAGAAGGAGGATCAAATGTTCAAGGTCATTCTTGGCTATATACCAAGATCATATTTTGGGAAATGTGGAACTAAAAAAAAAAACCAGTAAAAAGTAATAAAAAATCTTAAGACTAGTGAATGCGGCTGGACATCATGATGCATACCAGAAATCCAAGTAGTTGGCAGGTAGAAATAGGAAGGTCAGAAGTCCACAACCAGTCTTGACCACATACTAAGCTTGAGGCTATCCTAAGTTATTTAAATCTTATGTCAGAACGCATATGTGTATGTGTGCGTGCGTGTACACACGCTCACAGAGTAAGAAAGAGAGAGAGAGAGAACGTGTTTGAAGTTCATAGGTTTTAAGAAACGTGAAACTGACTTTTAAGCAAAAATGTATGACTAACTGGCCTCTTCATTCAAAATGAATTCACTTGACTTTTGCTCTTGGCACACTTGAAAAGCCATTTGTTTTGTTGGTCAACACCACTGCGGTTGACTCCCACCTCTGCCACTTCCTGTAGCTGTGTTACCTTGCTCTCCCAGAACATTGATATCAAGCAGAAACTGACCTGTTAGTGCTTGTTGCAGTGTGTGTGTGTGTGTGTGTGTGTGTGTGTATGAGTGTTTGAGTATGAGACAGCATGGATAAACGCTTTTTCAGACAGCTCCAGCACATGCTAAATTCTTATACCGTTATCTAACTGCATCTGTGTGTCTCTTCTGTCTGTGCGCCACCTGTGGTAGTTGGGAGAGCTAGTCAGAAGGACATGAGAGCAGGAAAGCAAGGGAAGCTTGCTGCCTCAGTGGTTGTAGCACTCATGAGAGTGGGCCCTGCACCTTGCCCTGGCAACACGCTGGAGCTGGCCTTGACGGCAAAGGCACTGGTGAGCCAGCTCGTCACAGGGTAAAGCACTTGGGAGACTCGGCCCTGTGCATTGACTGGGCAGTACAGTGGAGCTGGCTCTGGAGGCATGGGTACTGGTGAGCCAGCCCTGAGAGCATGAGATCAGGAAAACTGACCCTGCCTCCTGCTGACGGTGGCGTTGGGTGCCCAAACCTGAGGAGTGCTGGAGAACTCATCTCAGGATAAGGTAAAGCCTAAGTGTCGACCACCTCAGCGCCCACCCAGGCCCAATTCCAGGGCTCTGAGTTGTCCCACTCCAAAATCTATATCATCTGGGATTGGTTGGGATGAATGAAAGGGCCAGTCCTGCTGATCCAAAGCTGCAGGATCTCCATGACACAGGGTAACAACAGGATAACCAAGAGGAGTCCTGGCGAGGATCCAATATTGATGGTGTCACAGAAGCCAGAGACTTTGAACATGTGCAAATGAGGATGCATGGACAGAAGAATATACTATGGGACACGCTCTGACATACTATACCTTCTGTGAAGAGATATTTTCTATTTTCTCTCTCTTTTTTTTTTTCCTGGTTGTTGTTTATTTTGGGGGGTTGCAAGTACAAAGGGTGGGTGGATGTGAGAAGATGGGGAGAAGAACAGGACTGGGGTGCACGATGTGAAACTCACAAAGCACCAATAAAAGATAATAAAAAGAAATATCGGAGCCGGTTGGTGGTGGCGCACGCCTTTAATCCCAACACTTGGGAGGCAGAGGCAGGCGGATTTCTGAGTTCGAGGCCAGCCTGGTCTACTGAGTGAGTTCCAGGACAGCTAGGGCTACACAGAGAAACCCTGTCTCAAAAAAACAAAAAAAAAAAACAAAAAACAAAAAAAGAAAGAAAGAAATATCGGGGGCTGGAGAGATGGCTCAATGGTTAAGAGCACTGACTGCACTTCCAGAGGTCCTGAGTTCAAATCCCAGCAACCACATGGTGGCTCACAACCATCTGTAATGAGATCTGATGACCTCTTCTGGTGTGTCTGAAGACAGCTACAGTATATTCATATATAATAAATAAATAAATCTTTAAAAAAAAGAAATATCAATATGAATTACATAATTAAACCCAATGCTCATGCTCTAAATCTCCTCAGTGATTGTTTTTCAAGATACCCTTTCTCTGTGTGTAGTCCTGGCTGTCGTGGGTTCTCCATTTGTAGATCAGGCTGACCTTGAACTCACAGAGATCTGTCTACCCAAGTACTGGGATTAAAGGTTGGTGCCACCACTACCCAGCTCACTTATTTTTGAAACACGGTTTCATGTAGTCTAATCTGGCCTAGAACTTGACGACATTCTCCTGCATTCACAGCCCATGTACTGGAATTACAGGCCTTTTATCACCAAGCCAAAATGGGTTGTTTTCAAGAGACAGAAATTCTTGTTATGTTTATATGTAATATATTTAAAAGAGTAAGAAGTGATATTATAACCTGCAAACCTGGCAAGTAGAGGCCAAACAGTAGAATGGGAATTCAAGGCCAGGTTAGTTACATTGTAAGATCCTGTCTCAAAAAACAAATGATTGGAGATGAAACTCAGTGGTAAAAAAAAAATTGTGTTTATTACTTATTATATATGAGCATGTTTATGTACATATGTGTGCAGGTGACCATGGAGGCCAAAAGGGGTCATTAGACCCTCTGGAGCTGTAATTACAGGTGGTTGAGAGCCCTGCTTGGATGTTGGCAATCAAATTTTAGTCCTCTGCAAGCAGAGGACTACTGAGCCGTTTCTCCAGCTGTTTTCTTTTTTCTCTTGTTTTATTTTAATTTTTACACTATTATTTTCTCCCAAGGATGACCTGATCCCCCTACTGCACCCCCCAAGTGCTGGGGCTATAGTCATTGTTTGCTGTTTGTTTATTTTAGAGGAGGGAATTCCCCAAGATGGCTCTACGTAGTAGGTATGCAGCCTACTGGGTTTGAACCTTTGCTTTTCTTCCTACCTCTATGGTGGAGTTATAGGAGTATATATATATATATATATATTCCATTTTCTTTTAAATGTGATGGGGCCAGGCAGTGGTGGTGCATGCCTTTAATCCCAGCACTTGGGAGGCAGGGACAGGTGGATTTCTGAGTTCGAGGCCAGCCTGGTCTACAGAGTGAGTTCCAAGACAGCCAGGGCTATACAGAGAAATCCTGTCTCAAAAAAACAAAAAAAAAAAACAAAACAAAACAAACAAACAAACAAAAACTGATGGGGGCTGGAGAGATGGCTCAGTGGTTAAAAACACTAGGTGCTCTTCCAGAGTTCAGAGTTCAATTCCCAGAACCCACAGAACTCACAACTGTCTAAACGTGTCTATAATTGTATGGGATCCAATTTCCTCTTCTAGTGTGCAGCTGTACATGCAAACAGAACATCCATATATGTAAAATATATAAATAAATTGTTTAAAAACGTGGTGCTCAGAATAGCGTTGGGAAATTCACATATGCTATCACGTGCTGTGTCTCTGGCTTCTGTTTTTCAGATCTAAGGATAAAACACAAATCAGCAGTTTGGAAAAGATCATACTGATTCATCTTTTTCAAATTTTCTTTCTTTTTAATCTCATTAAGAAAAGCCATTTACAGGCTGAACATATACCAGTTTCCTGTATCAGTATTTCTGCAGCTCCAGCAACTGGGAGGAGTATGATCGTAAATCAGATGACAACCTGTGCTATAAACTGAGTATGAGGTTACAGTGAGAACTTGTTTTAAGAAAAAGAAGAGGAAGAGGAGGGTGGAGAAGAAGAATAAAGAAAGGAATAAGAAGGAGGAGAGGGGACAGAGGAGGAGGAAAAAGAAAAAAGAAACAGGTGGTGGTGGAGGAGGGGAAGAAAGAAGAAGAAAAGAAGAAAGAAGAAGAAAGAAGAAGAGGATGAAGAGGAGGAAGAGGAGGAGGAGGAGGAGGAGGAGGTAGACAAAGAGGAGGAGGAAGAGGAAGAAGGAGGAGGAGGAAGATGAGGAAGAGGAAGAAAAGGAAGGAAGGAAGGAAGGAAGGAAGGAAGGAAGAAAGAAAGAGAGAAAGAAAGAAAGAAAGAAAGAAGGAAAGAAAGAAAGGAAGGAAGGAAGGAAGGAAGGAAGGAAGGAAGGAAGGAAGGAAGGAGGAGGAAAAAAAGAAGCCGGACAGTGGTGGCGCATGCCTTTAATCCCAGAACTTGGGAGGCAGAGGCAGGTGTATTTCTGAGTTCGAGGCCAGCCTGGTCTACAGAGTGAGTTCCAGGACAGCCAGGGCTATACAGAGAAACCTTGTCTTGAAAAAAAACAAGAAAAAGAAAAGAAAGAAAGAAAGAAAGAAAGAAAGAAAGAAAGAAAGAAAGAAAGAAGAGAGAAAGAGAGGAAGAGAGGAAGAAAGGAAGAAAGGAAGAAAGGGAGAAAGGGAGAAAGGGAGAAAGAGAGAAAGAGAGAAAGAGAGAAAGAGAGAAAGAGAGAAAGAGAGAAAGAGAGAAAGAGAGAAAGAGAGAAAGAAAGATTTATCTTGGCCATCCTACTGGCTGGCTCTCTACTTCTGTGTATGTCATATGATGTGACCATCTGGTTCAAGTTCCTACTGCCTAGATTTCTCAGTAGTAATAGGCTGCCATCTGGAATAATGATCCAAATAAACCTTTCTCCTTTACTTTGCTTTTCTCGGGGTATTTTATTTTTTATGCATATGGGTATTTTATCTCTGTATGTCTGCATATACGTCTGTGCACCATGTGGTTGTGAACTACCACTCGAGTGCTGAGAATCAAACTTGTGTCCAGTGCTCTCAACCCCTGAGCCAGCTCTCCAGCCCCCTTATAATCATTGTTTTCAAAATTTCGTAATTAACCAGAAAAGAAAGGAAGAAAGAAAGGAAGCAAGCAAGCAAGCCCATTTCTGATACTTTATAATGTATCATAGGTATAAGATGGAACATTTAAACCTTGTCCTCTTTTTTAGAAATCCCACTGGGAAATTGGCCAATACTCTTATGAACTACTGTTACAAGTCCTGGGTCACAAAGGTTGCTATGGTTAAAATTCCAGATGAGATGGTCAACACTGTAACAGGGAACCTCCATCAATCACACCCCCCCTTCCACCATTACCACCTCCCTCACTGCTTGCCATAACCACATCTGCTTTACCCCTCTTCCTTTCCTCATCCCTTCCTCTCTTCCTCCTTCTCCCTTCCTTCTCTTCCTCCCCCCCACCGCCAGACCCTCTCAGTTGTGCTCAAGATAGACAGAGGCTCTGCAAATAAAGTAAGGACAGAGAAAAGTATTACGTCCAAAGGAACATGGATTGGGATTTTAATGCGAATGGTCCTTTAAGGTATTTATTTATTTGACTCTTAAAATGATTGATTGGGGAGGCAGAGGCAGGCGGATTTCTGAGTTCGAGAGTTCGAGGCCAGCCTGGTCTACAGAGTGAATTCTAGGACAACCAGGGCTACACAGAGAAACCCTGTCTCGAAAAACCAAACCAAAAAAAAAAAAAAATGATTGATTGGTTGTGTGTGTGTGTGTGTGTGTGTGTACACCTATGAGGCCAAAAGAGAACATCAGGTATCCTCCTCTATCACTTTGTCTTTTGATTTTTGATCACTTCCTGACCCTGAGGCTTGGGCTTTCTTGGCTGTACTGCAAGCCAGTAAGCCCTAGAGATTGTCTTGTCTTCACCTTCCTCAGAGTTGGGGTTAGAGGTATGCATGTGATACCCAACTGCGTGGTAGGTGGTGGTTTCTGAACTGTGATCCCTGTGATTGCTCAGCAAGTGCACTTCACCTCTGAGTCATCTATTTTAATTTTTAAAAATATTTATTTTATTATATGTATATGTGGTGTCTGCATGTGTGTATGTGTGTGCCTGGGAATGCCAGTGCCCAAGAAGTCCAGAAGAAGCTATCAGATCCCCTGGAGTTGGAATTAGAGATAGTGGTAAGTCACCCAACACAGATGCTGAGAATTGAACTCAGGCTCTCTACAAGAGTTGTATGCCCTTTAAACTGCTAAGCTAGTTCTCTATCTATACCCCTTACAACTAAAATATATTATTCATATTATTTTGGCATTTTGAGATAGGGTCTCTCTCTGTAGTCTTGGGTGAGCTGGAGCTTGCTATGTAGACCAGGATGGCCTTGAACTTGTCCTGCATTGCCTCTTGAGTGCTGGGATTAAAGTCATGTCCCACTATATCCATCATTTAAATGTTGTATTATAGTATGTTTGTGTGATCACGATGTGCATTTGAATGCTTATGTGCACATGTGGAGAGCAGGGGACAGCTTCCACCTTTGTAGTTCTAGAATGGAGTTAAGGTTAGCATGCTTGTGTGACAAGCATCACTGACCACTGAGTCATCTGACCATTTGCAGCTTTTACCCTCTCATTCCCTAATTTTAACTTATTTTCTTTCTTTTTTTTTTTAAGATTTATTTATTTTATGTATATGCATACACTGTAGCTGTCTTCAGATGCACCAGAATAGGTCATTGGATCCCATTACAGATGGTTGTGAGCCACCATGTGGTTGCTGGGAATTGAACTCAGGACCTTTGGAAGAGCAGTCAGTGCTCTTAACCACTGAGTCACCTCTCCAGTCCCTTAACTTATTTTCTATTTTTAAGTGTGTGTGTGTGTGTGTGTGTGTGTGTGTGTATGCTTTCAGCAGGCATGTGCATGCTTGGTGCCCTCGAAAGTTAAAAGAGTGTATTGGATCCCCTGGAACTGGAGTTATAGGATATCAGATGCCCTTGGACTTGAGCCAGGTGGATGCTGGGAATTGAACCCAAGCTCCATGAAGAGTATCAGTACAGTCTCTGAGTTAACTCTCCAGCCCTTGTTTTATTTTTATTTTATTTTAGTTTGTTTGTTTGCTTGCTTGCATGTTTTTTGAAACAGGGTCTCACTATGGTACCTTGGCTGACCTTGTACTCATTATATAGACCAGGTTGGCCTCAGGCTCACAGAGATCTATTTGCCTATACCTCCTGTGTGCTGGGATTAAAGATAAGTGCGGCCTTGCCCAGCCCATAGTGTTTGTTTGGGGTGTTTGTTTATTTATTTGTTTTGCTTTTTCTGAGACTAGGTTTCTCTCTATAGCCCTGTCCTTGAACTCAGAGATCGAACTGCTTCTGCCTCCTGAGTGATGGAACTAAAGGCATGCACCACCACCTGGCATAGCCCACATTTTAAAGTGTGTGTGTGTGTGTGTGTGTTTGCACATAAATACAGGTACCCGTGAAGATCAGAGATGTGAAATTTCCTTAAAAGTAGAATTGTAGTGTGGGTGCTGGGAAATGAATTCAGGTTCTCTGCAAGATACTAGGTACTTGTAATCATTGAGCTATCTTTCCAACATTCCCTATTCTATTGGCCAAGTTGGCTTGGGTTATTATGATAGTTCACTGTACTCAGTTGCTTAGGATTACAGTTGTTAGCCATTGGTTATGTCTGGCAATTTTACATGAAAGAAAGAGAAGAAGGGAAGAAAGAAAGGTAGAAGGAAAGAGGGAAGGAGGGAGGAAGGGAGGGAGAGATGGAGAGAGGGAGAAGAATGAAATGAAAAGTTGAAGGCCAGGCATAATGATTCACAGGAGGGTGAGAAGTGTAGCTTGTAGTTTTGTCTACATCACTTTGTGTTCCAGGCTTGTCGCAAGCACACACTGGCCCAGGAGCGATTTCAGATCTGCAGATAAAAGACACATACACATTAGCTCATTTTTAAAACTGTCTTATTGGATCTGTGGCTGGGCTCTTCTAAGCCTTCCAAGACTAGAGTGCCCTTACCTTTACTCCTAGCTCAACACCTTTAAATCTTCCCTCAACTTAGTTGCCTGGTTACCTTCTGTGAAGCCCATTGGTTTTGCTGCCCAAGACGCTTTCGGGCCGCTTACCCTCACCACCTACATTTTGGAAGATCTGCCCTGTAGTTCCCAGTCAGTTCCATCTCTTTCTCACAAGCATCTCTATCCTCCTCTTCTCTCCTAACCTGTGGGAACCTGGAAGTCCCATCTCCTTCTTTCCACCCAGTCATTAGCCACTGACATCTTTACTGGTAGATCAAAAACCAATTGAGGGCAAGGACCTTCAGGGTCAGTAAATACAGATTCCTTATTAAATTGTCAGAACTACCTCCCTACACAGAAGTTCAAGGCCAGACTTGACGACCTAGCTAGTTAGACACAAGCTAGTAAGCTTGTGCTGTATAAAATCTTATTGCAAAACCAAAACAAACACAACTCCTAAATTAAAAATGGGCCGTTAATATGGTAAAATGGATGAAAGCACTTGCCACCAAGCCCGATGGTCTACCTGAATTTGTTTCCCAAGACCTACATGGTAGAAGGATAAATTACTGCAGATTTTATTCTAACATCCACACTAGGGCTCTGAAGTATGTATGTTCACCTATACACACACTAAATAAATAATAAATATTTTTAACTAAAAAGATCTGATTGGATAATATCTGCAGTCAATAGATAATTATATCCATAGTATTCTTTTTTCAATTTTTAGTAGAAAATAATTTTTATGCAATGTATTCTGATTATGGTTTCCCCTTCTCTACCTTCTATATTTTTCCCACTTTCCCTACCCACCCAATTCCATAGCTTCTTTCTCTCTTTAGAAAAGGGAGGGGAGGTGACGGGCAGTGGTGGCGCCTTTAATCCCAACACTTTCGAGGCAGAGGCAGGCGGATTTCTGAGTTCGAAGCTAGCCTGGTCTACAGAGTGAGTTCCAGGACAGCCAGGGCTACACAGAGAAACCCTGTCTCAAAAAACCAAAACCAAAAAAAAAAAACCCCCAAAAAACAAAAACAAAAAACAAAAAACAAAAAGGAAAGAAAAGAGACAGGGGAAAGCTCAAGAAACACACACACACACACCATAAAAACACAAAATCAGAAACCATGATATATAAGACATTTTGTCTTGGCCATCTACTGCTGGGCATAGGCCCTGCCCTTAAGTGTGGTTTATATACCCAGTGAGACTCACTGGAAAAAGTTAACTTTCCCTTTGCAAGCGGTTGTCAATTAGACACATCATCTGGGTTAGGTATATGAATGAGCTCTTGTCTACATCCCCCTCTTAGCACTGGAACCCTGTTGGGTTTGGACCTGAGCATGCTGCCCCAATCTCTGCGAATTTATATGTATGTCAGTCCTGTCGTGTAAGACACTGTTTCCTTGGGGTTATCAATTACCACTAACTCCTACATTCTTTCCACCTCTTCCACATACAGCCCCAAGCATCAAAGGAAGCACTTTAACGACAGCATTCTATTTTAGATGGAGCATTCCAGAGTCTCTCTCTCTCTGTACATTGTCCATCTGTGGATCTCCATATTAGTTCCCATATATTGCAGGAAAAGCTTCTTTGAGGATGGTCATATGAGACACTGATCTATGGCCAAGTGTCCTTAGGAGTCATTTTATTGCTATGTTCCTTTTGCAGAATTGTAGCACTCCTATGCCCACGGCCTATCTAGTCTCAGGTCTTAGTTACTTTATCATGGGTTCTATCTCATGGAGGGTGACTTAAATACAAGCAGTGGTGGGTTACTACCATAACATATATGCCACTGTTGTATCAGTGTATCATGCAGGCAGGTCACCACTGTAGATCTCAGCAGTTGTAGCTTGGTTGATTTACCTTTGTCCTTTAGTAGTATGAAGACTAACATTCTGCTACCATGAACACTAGTCAGTATAGATAAGGCTCTTGGCAGCCATCAGCTAGACTTCTCTGTGTTCAGTGAGTTGTGTTGTCTTCAGCAATAGGACTTTTATAGAGAGCAACCACCAGTTGTAGAGAGTAACAAATAGCCTGGGTTGTTTGTGAGTTTCCCTGGGACCCCTTTGGTCAGTGATTCAATTAGATGTAACCCATCCCTGGCTCTGGAGGTTCCACTTTGTAGTGAATGATGTCTAGTTGGGGCATTGTCTCTGCCATTATTTGTATGAGATTTCTCTCATACATGTCTGTCTACAATATTCTTTACAGTGGTTTTTTTTTCCCCTTTACTCTCTTGGCAAAAGATAAATCTTTGTCTTCCTGTTAGACTATGCAGACTGAGGAATGGCTATTACTGTACCTGATACAAAAGAGAGATTCTGGCATAGGCCCCACCACCACTACCATCTCTTTTCACCCTCTTCCCTCTCTGCCTCTCTCCTTTCCTCCCTCCCTCCCACTTCTTTTTGCTCTCTTGCTTGCTGTCTTGTTTGCTTGTTGTCTGGCTTGCTGTCTCCACAGACAAGATTTCATGTAGCCCAGTTGGGCCTTGAACTTCAGATCCTCCTGCTTTCTCTTTCCTAACACTGGG